AGTACAAACCTTTTCACTTTCGTGATCCGCGTGGGAGTCGAGTGATGAGGCTAGTGACAAAGGACCTAAATGTAGGGAACATCACTCTAGGGTTTTCGATATGGAGGATGAGATTTTTTATTTTGACACAGATTGTATCAAAAATCAACAAGATGTAGATTGGGATCTGCCACCAATCTTCGACACATACTTAGATGAAGAACATGATCTTGTAGGAGATCCAATCTACAATTATGATCAAGATTTTGTGGTTGAATTGGTATTTGACGAGGAAAAAGATTAAGGACTCAAATGAGAATTAATAGGTGAAGTTGTTGGTTTACTCGTTGATCTCAAGGATGCACCAGTGGTGTGTTCTAGAGTTTAGTTTGGACAAATTCAACAAGGTTACATGGCTGAAGTGATCAAATTTCAACAAATTTATGTGATTAAAAATAGGCCCTTTCCTTGAGGGTTTCTCAGTTCTATTGCACAACCATTGTGTTTTGATTAGTGCAATAACTCATAAGTGCCAAGATCGTGTTTACAATATTCGAGTTGAAGAATGTTGCCAAACTAGCACCAATTTCATCTTAACATATTTCAAAACTCGATGACGAGTTTTCTCCAACCAGAAGAGAATGATGAAGGGCCAACTTATACTTATTTTTAATTTTTATTCAATTGTAAAAAATTTTAATTTTAATTTTAATTTTAGAATTTATTTTTAGGATTTTTAGTTTTTTGGGCATTCTAAGGTTTTTTATTTTTTATTTATTTATAATACTATTCACAAGTACTATTCACGAATATTGTTCATGAGTACTGTTCATAGGGGTAAAACTGTCTTTATAAAATTTTAGTTTAAGTTAGGATATATAGGTTATTTTACTCATTGTATAGATATGTAATGTTTTTGAACATTGAATTATAATATATAAGAGGTGTCGGGCATTGAGAGAGTCAATTCCACATGATTTTTAAAAATTGAAAGAGAAAAAGCTTAGGCTTTTGGAGCCCTAGCTTGGGGTATGGAGAAGAAACCCTAAGTTGCTTTCAATTATGCTTGTGTTTGGCTTGTTCCTTGCTGATTTTATTGTTCCCTCAAAGTTTTTCCACACCAATTAATTGCTCCCAATTAACCATCAATTTTCATTAGATCAGCCAAAAATCAGTGATACATGTGTGGGTGGGGGGTGGGGGGTGGGGGGAGGGGGAGGAGGAGGGGGGAGGGGGGGTTTGGGTTGCATGGGTGGGTGGGGGAAGTACTTTTTTGCCCATGGGTGAGGGCATTTTTCTGCCCTCGACCAAGTTTTTCCAAGGCGCCGCCTAGGCATTCTGCCCGGCCGCCTAGGCAGCTGAATTTTTTAACATTGAACTAGATTATTGTCTAATCTATTATCTATCTATTAGATGCATTAGATTTGAGAAAAAAACAGATTTGCAATATATTTTAGCTCAAATAATTTGGCCAAGTTTTTGACAGATCTCAAAAATTCCAATTCCTTCGCAAGCAATGGTCGATCTTAGTTGAAATTTGATCCTTAAGCCAATTTATTGCGTTCTTGATCCAACAACAGACGTTATTTTCACAACTCAAAGAAAAAAAGAAGAAAAAGGATTTGAGAGATTTGAATTTTGTATTTACTATACATCTAAATTTTCCAAGAGCTTGAATGTCCTAGATCCAAAATTGAAATATAAAACTGGTCTGGTAATTTTGTTTGGGGGTGTCTAAGCGTGGCCAGGATCATTTCAATTCCATTAGTAATGAGGATTCGGAATATCACACATGGATATGGGAGGCATCAATTTGCATCAAATGTGCAGATCAAGGGTAGGCCTCAAAATTTTGGGCACGCTTCATTTTTATCAATTTAAATCCATATATTTGCTTTTTTACTAGGTCAATTATAATCGCTTTATATATAATTATGTATATAAATTTTATTTTTATATTTTTGTAAAATTTTCTGTTTCTTTCTTTTTTTCCTACTTTTCCAATTTTTGGAATTTTCTGATTGTTTTCAAAATAAGATCAATGTTTCATATTTCATGTTTTCTATACTTTTTTATTTTGTCCAATTTTTGTATTTTTACTGATATTTAGGGATTTTTTGGCATTTTTTGCTTTTTTTTTCTGCCTTTTTGTGGTCTCAGGCTGGACTTGGGCAAGTCAACTTGGTCTCGCCTGAGTCACTCAGCTCGTCTAGGGCTTGAGCTCCGAGCCCAAGGTGTGGAAATTGAACATTTATGCATAAGCATAATCTTTTGGCTAGCTTATTATATACATGATTATATGCATACACAAGGATATGTGCATCCTTCAGTACGTGTATATGTACCGATCTATATGATGTGCATGGAGCTTTAATTCTCAAGCACTTGTTTGGGTTATCTATTAGTGGATACAGGCTTGTATCGAGTAATCTCTTTGGGTAATGCATTGCATCTCATATATTTATATGATGCAGTCAATGATTGCATGATACACACTAAAAGAATTATACATATATACTTTGGTTTGTCAGAAAACAGATAGACATGATTGTGTGCGTATAATATTGATCAAGACACAATTTTACTAAGATAATGCATTTGACATATGTAGGAGATTGTAAATTGGTATGTCCCATATAAGGAACATATTTGTAAGTAAACTACCCCCAAATGCAGTAGTTTTAAAACAAGTATGCCACTATAGAATGCACGTACTCAAACTGTGCTTCTAGGTAAACACAGGTCTAAGAACCACAGGTGACCCCAACTGAGTGTATATGGTAATAGGTGACAAACTTTTGTGCATTTAATTTCAATCTTAGTAAAGTTATGAGTTTCATCATAATTTTTAGTGGTTTCACATTTATGTTTAATTTTGTTTACTTTCGTTAAACCAAGTCAACAATTGAACAACTTACTCATTGGTTAGAGCATCAACTAATTTGAGAGGAGTCAGTTAATTATGAGTTTCACAAGTAATTCCATGCCATTGTCATGTGAAATCACTGTTCACTTTAATATATGAGATATGCTCATTTTCAAATCACACACCAATTTATAAAAAAAAACATTGAAAAGAATCTAGCCATATATCAAAGAGTATTTTAAAATTGAAGAAATCAGAAGCTTAACACTCTAGAACTTACAAATTCATTTAATTATGTTCTACAGAAGGAATAACAGTAGAAAACATACTGACCAATAATTATTCAGAATATTTTAGCATTAAGAAAATATCTTACTGGCCCCCAACGTTTTCCGTCATTCATGATAGCTGTTCCCATTTATACTCTATCAAGCAGCTTTAAAAAGGCTTAAAAGGTTTCATCCAACCCCTGATTCCCTTTCTCCTTTAATTTTATATATTCATTCTTTTAATCAACCCAAACAGTTTCCCCAAACCCACATGGGTCCATTCTTTTAACCTAGTACTCTCTACCCATGTAGCCCACTCCTGAACCTCTCGCTTTCAACTCTTTTCAACCAGCCGTTGAACTACCTACCTCTCTCTCTCTCTCTCTCTCTCTCTCTCTCTCTCTCTCTCTCTCAGTTTCTTGGCTCTCCTCAATTGGGTTTTTCCTCAATTAGAAGAACTAAGCTTCTTGAACCTCTGCCATGCCAAATGAAGAGAAAAACCCTCAAACCCTGCCAGTGCTATTGCTTCCTCATTCACCATTGCTTATGCTAATCTCATGAAACTGGGGACTTTGAGCCAACATCCACCACAGCTTGTGCTAATCTCAATGAAATTGGGGATTTTGTGCCAATATTTCCAGGACGGTTACATAAAGTTGCCTTTCAATTGAAGAGTTCAAGGAAAATGATCGCCTCACTGGTTGAAAATTTCGAAAATCAAAACCATGCTCCAATTCTCGCACAAAAAACCACCATGAAAATGGGTTCTGAATTTGGGTTTCATTTGTAATGTTTGCTGAAACTTGTGGTTTTGAGATTATGCATCTACGCAATGGACAATTTGGGTGGGTTTGGGGGCATGTATCAATGCAATATGTATGGAAAGCATGGATACATGGGAAAGATACTCAATCTCTCTCCATCTCTAAACACATTCAAACTCGTTTAAACAAATGATACAGTCATAGGATTGATTCTGCCAAAGTGAGAAACCCATCTCCCTTTCTGTAGTGAGAAGAGTGGGATCAATTGGATCACAGATTCTTTGAGACCAAGAGAGGTTCAGAGTGATGGGTATGTGATCTAAGAGGGTTTGGGGCCATGTACCAATCAATGTGTATGGAAAGCATGGATACATTTGGGAAAGATTCTCAATCTCTCTCCATCTCTAAACTCATTCCCACTCATTTAAACAAATGATACAATCATACAATTCAGCCAAAGTGACAAACCCATCTCCCCTTATGTAGTGACAAAGACGGATAATTGGATCACGGATTCTTCGAATCCACGGCTTTGAGCAGGGGTGGAGACCATGAGAGGCTCAGAGTGAGAAAGAGTTGAAGACAGAAGCAAAATGTAACTGGTGAGAAGGAAGACCCATTTAAGAGCCAATACCAATTGGGAAAGACAAGAAATTATGATGAAATCCGCTCAAAAGCCATAAAAATGGTAAACTTTAGTGGCAGAGCAGAAACCCATTTGAGGAAAGACAAAAAACTGATAGAGTTAAAGAGAAAGAGAGAAAGAGAAAGAGAGAGAGAGAGAGAGAGAGAGAGAGAGAGAGAGGAGGAGAGAGAGAGGAGTGTGTCGTACGTCGCGTCGGACGAGGTAGGTAGAGAAGAAGAGAGACGACGAGGAGGTGGTGTGGTCGGGTACGGTAGGTACGGTAAG